TCATGTCCTCTTGCTGATACCCAGTAATTTAGGGGTGATCTTGGCCATGGTTTTGTAGGAAGATGATAATCAGCTTGTCACAGCTTCAGTTTTCCCTGCATCCCAAAGCCAAGGGACACCACTTCAGAAAGACAAACAATCCTGCAATTCAGAATAATGATATATATGGGGCTCCTGAAAAAAATTGTGTAGACTGCTTTGGGAATCTCAGTCTTAAGTCTTCCAAACCCACCTTTGTTTTCCTTGCTCCCAACTTCTGTTAGGAATAGTCTATATAAGGGTAGAAACAACATAAAAATATATCACCTTCTTTTCTATCTCAGTAACACATGAACTAAGGAATAGTTAAGATGTTTCTGAGGAAAGGTAAATGGCAATCCATACCTATATCAGGTAATGGCGGGGTTAGAGGTGAACTTACTCAACACGCGTCAACTGGACACCTATTGTTTGCTGTGAATTTGATTGAAGGCTGGGAAAGCAACAGGAACCACTGAAGACTTCCTCAGGATATCGTGAAGCCTTCACTCCTAATGCTATTCTGTATGCTTTATAATAGCCTAACTTCTGCTCAGCTATGCTAAAATATGACAAACTTCCCCCAAGACTGTCGATTTTCCTATGTGGTAATGAAGCATGTGTGGAATTAAACATCTCAAGTCCTTCTTGATATAGAGGTAACTTTATGTGTCCTTTTTTTTTGTTTCCTTCTCTCCTCCTGTTCCTCATCTCTCCCCACCTTCTCTCTCTTTAACTGAGAACAAATTCTTACTAAGTTACCCAGGCAAGCTTTGAATTCCCTCTGTAGCCTACAAATTTCATGAACTTGCCATCCACCTGCCTCTGTCTCCAAGTAGCTAGAATTATAGGATTAAAGGTCTATGCGATCAGACCAGGTTAATTTGTGATCTTATTAGGAATTTGCTTATTTCACTAGTTTGTTCACCACTCCTCACCCAATGGACACTTTTCTGAGTTTTTGTATAAAAGTAAGAAGCATTCGCTATTACAAAAATATGCAAGATATCCCACAGTACAGCAAAATAGTTCTAAGTTTCAGATAGCAGAATCTCTAGAATTCATGGAAATTGAAAAAGGGTTAATCTTATCACATGGTAAAATGAACTGAGAAGTATATACTGGGGATATTGACAAAAGCATTAATGTCAAAAGAAAAAAAACACCAAACTTCTCAATTGCCCTATTTTCCAGGATGGAAGACTAATCATAGAAGAAAGTGGCATCTTGTCTGGTGGAAAACCTTGCATACATCAGAGAACATGTCTTTCCTCAAGAGGTATCAATTAGTGGCTACTCTGAGAACAGTGTAAACCACACCTCTTAAATTGCTGGATTGCCTTAAGAAATGATCCCTTGTGAAGAGAAAACACACACAAGCATCAAGTCACAGATCCAAAGGTACCACGACACATGTAATAAAGAGGCAGGTGTCCAGAGAAGTCAGGCCAGGAAAAGTAGGACACAGAAGCCTCTGCCTGAGCATGAAATGAAAAGCTCAGTTGCTCACTGACTGTATCCTTCATCATGATATTGATGTACAATGATTCATCTGCAACACAGAAATCTTAGACATCACCTCAAATGGCTCTTGGTGAAAAATCAATGTGTAAATAAAACAGCGAAGCCAAGTGCAGTCCCAGTTCTTTACAGGAGGCTGATGCAGAGCAATTCAAGTTCAAGCTCCAGGGTAAGCTAAATACATAGTAAGATTCTTTTTCAAACAAAAGACAAAGAAAACCCCATCCAGCAAGGAGTGAAAGATGCAAATGCTTCCTCCTAACACTGTTAAGTGGTGGTCAGGATTGGTTGCTGCAATCATAGAACTTTTACAAGGTAAGTCCAGTTTATTTTATACTTCCCCAAAAAGAAAATAGGACATCATTAATATAGGCCACGAGGCTCCGGTGGGATATACAAGCCCTGAAGAGTTAGACAGTAGTTTATTGAAACTAAAGAGACTCTTTCTGCAAGGCTTTCAACAAACATGGTGGTACGGTCTGGGCATAAATAACATTTTAATTCTTAAACGGAAATTTTAGGGTGATAGATTATAAAACTTAGGGAATGGCTCGGTGGTAAACTGGACATTTGTAAAATCCTGGGTTCCGTCCCCAACCCCCAAATCACACAGAGAGACAGATATGCAAGCACACACACACACACACACACCAAAACAAAGACCCAAAACACTGCAGTATGTGTGGTATGTGTTTGTTATTGAACTATCAAATACCTGAAGCACTTGAAGTGTGCGTTCTGGTTTGTACTTATTTGCATGAGGGAAGTCAGCATGCACTACCATCAATTACAACAATTTGTATTGGTGAACAGACATAAACTAATGACTGACGCACAAAGACCTCACTGAACAAAGCTACTCCGTTTCTTTGCTGAGTCATAGCAAACAGGAAGACAGGCCTACAGGAAATGAGCTGCCACATGGAAGGGTAGAATAAAAATGGAATCTAAAGAGAAGGGTGAAATTACTGCCTACCGTCAAGCTATCGCATAAAGCACTGTAGTTCCTTGTGATCAACAAGTCTCTGAGGCTACAAGTTATTGAGCTTGTATTTTCTCATATGGTATATCTAAAACATCAAGGTAGTGCAGAGGGGTCAGGACTTAGTGGTAAAGTAGCTTGTACAGCAGGGTGGAGAGTGAGTCTGAACTCGGAACTCATATGTACTGGTCGGTCTGCGCTTCAGTCGCTGTGATATAAGCGTTCCTACTGAGCTCAGCATTCATCGCTGTACAAGTTGTAAACATGTCTCACCAATTTGTTACGTACACCCCCTACATGACTTACAGTGTTTTCTCGAAGTCTAATCTTTTCTTTTCATAACAGCAAATTGTTTATCTTCCTCACATACATGCCTTATCTAAAGGTGGAAAAGAAAATCCCTCATACGTGTTCAGAAACATAAACTGGGGGATGCAGACAGGGAGCTTCGAGAAAAAAAAAATGAAAATGGCCTATGAGTTCAGCAGCGCTCATCAGAGGACACATGCAAATAAAATTTGAGTTCCAATACTTTGTAACCACTAATACAATAGATCTCAGTAATTATGATCAATGTACGTTAACATCACTAAACTAAGATAAATGGTGGCGTGCTTCCGATGCCATTGAAAACCCTACCCATGAAGTCAGTGATGAAACTGGCATATTGGGGTGAAAAGGTTCCAAAGAAAAGTGAACAGTCTCTCTCTCCTGGCTAAAATCAGAAAATGACCTTGCTGGAGGCACAGAACTCCAGAAGTGTCCAAACTGAAAATGTCTTTAGTTCCACCATGTCAAGAGACCGGAGATGCCAGAAAGGGGGCATGGTTTCCCCCTCTATTTTTTCCCCTAAGGAGTATCCCTTTCCAGGAAGCAATTTAGAGGACATGACAGAACCTGGCAGGCACCTGGATACTTGGAATAAGAACTAGACCTACCCATGGGAAAGGAGGGGAGGTCTTCCCTTTCCCCCATTCCCTAGATCTTAATTAGTTCTCAGGCATTGGGGCTCAGTTATATTCTATTCCCAATGACTCCTTCTGTTGTACAGGGGTTCTGCCTTTCCTTTCTTTCTCATAACTCCATGTAATAAAGGACTTCTTCCTAAAATTCATGTTTTGTTGTCTGTGAATTTCATTCTTTGAAGTCATATGAAGCCCAAAGCTACTGGCTTAGGGTGGCTTTCATGACCATAAATCTCCAGGACCCTCGTTCTGTGAGGCCAGTACAACAAGAGCCAAGAAAGGTTTCATTGCTTTCAAAGACAGGCTTCCATACCACTGTCTACTGGAAGGCAAACAACCTGAATCCAATTAAGCTACCTGCAATAAATCTCAGTTTACTAGGAGTCCTGGTCACAAGAAACATACTATGTATGAAGCCACAGCAATGGGATACCTTATATCAGACTGAAGGGCTCTCTGTGGCAGAAATAAGCTCACTGACTTCTGTAATAAGTTACATGGAAAATAATGAATGGTGATGGGAAACTTGTGATATAAAAGATTCACTGGACCTTAACGACAGTTAGTGGTGTGTGTGTGTGTGTGTGTGTGTGTGTGTGTGTGTGTGTGTATGTGGTGGGATGGTACATGCACACAAATTCTTGTGTGTGAATGCAGGTATATATGACATTTCAGAAGACAATCTGGGGCCTTCCTCACCCTCCACCTTGTTTGAGACAAGCTTTCTCTGTTGTTTTTTCCTGCTGCATATGCATGCTAGATGGCCTATAAGCTTTCAGATTTCTCCTGTTTCTTTGACCGATTTCCCATAGGAAGCCAGAGAGCTACCACATCCAGTTTTGTCACGGATTTTAAGGATTTGAACTCAGATTGTCATGCTTGCTTACTCAGCACCCACTTTTACCCACTGAGCCACCAGAGTAAATTTTAATAGACAAACCTCATCTGGGTCTTGATTTACAACCAACACATGAGAAAAAAGTACCCCATAATTTGAAAAGTGATTAGATACGTGCTATTAGATAATTACTAATATTTTGTGATAAGAATGTTATTGCTATATTTACAAAAGAGAGTTCGTGATTTAAAGATCAACAATGAAATATTTGAGGAAGAAGAGATGCTTTGAGTGGAAATTTGGCCCCTAGAGGGCCAGCTGATGCTCACAGATGGCTCACAATGGCTGACGTTTGCATCAGGTATCACACCTTTCCTCTCTCATAGGTTTTAATTTTTATACAAGAAATGGAGAGCAGCATTTGCTAGATAGATGTGCCCATAGAACCTGCAGGATACAGGAAGCTTACAAGAGTGGTAGCATCTCTCTCTGCCTAGAGTAACATGATAATTTCAGTCTTTTAAAATTTGCCATTATTTTACTAATAACTGTTTAACATATTTGCAAGCAGAGATCAGCAAAATATTATTTTAAAAATTGTTCCATATGACACTGTAAATGCTGGTGATATTCTACTCTTTAACCAGTTGAGATAAATATTGCAAAATCGGGAACCAAGATGGAGGAGTACGCGAGGGAGCCATGCCCCTGGCGAATCGTGGACGACTGTGGTGGTGCCTTTACCATGGGTACCATAGGTGGTGGTATCTTTCAAGCCTTCAAAGGCTTTTGAAATTCTCCAATGGGAGTAAACCACAGACTCCGAGGGAGTTTGACAGCTATTAAAACCAGGGCTCCACAATTGGGAGGTAGCTTTGCAGTTTGGGGAGGACTGTTTTCCATGATTGACTGTAGTATGGTTCAGATAAGAGGCAAAGAAGATCCCTGGAACTCCATCACTAGCGGTGCCTTAACAGGAGCCATCCTGGCAGCAAGAAATGGACCGGTCGCCATGGTGGGGTCGGCTGCCATGGGAGGCATTCTCCTAGCTTTAATTGAAGGAGCTGGTATCTTGTTGACAAGGTTTGCCTCTGCACAGTTTCCCAATGGCCCTCAGTTTGCAGAAGATCACTTGCAGGTGCCCTCAATCCAGCTGCCACCCTCACCCTTCGGAGACTACCGACAGTATCAGTAGGACATCCTTTCCAGGAGTCCTGTACCTGAGTGGACTGTAGTTCAGCAGGGTTTCAGAAGATCAAGTTACAGTCTCTTTAAAGCTGTAGGTGGGGCAGCGGTGGCCAAGTGGGCCATGAAGAGACATTTAGCACATTTTTCTATTTAAAAGAGACTCAGAGGGGAGAAAAGATACTGAGTTTATTTATTCACACATGGATTGCGTTTGTGATCAAAATAAATGTCTAATGCATTTAAAGAGTGTATATATATACACATGCTTAGAAGATAAAGGACCAATGGGCAAATAACAGTGAAAAAAATTGCAAAATCACAGGATTGGCACAAAAGTAGGGTTGCTAGCAGATATTTATTCCTTACATCGTTTTTCCTTTTTTCTTTCTTCTTCCTTTAAAACTTTTAAATAGGTTTCTGCTTTCCAAGTGCGAGTATCCTGGAACCCATTTCGCATACCAGGTGTCCTCGAACTTACCACAAGCCTGTCTCTATCTCTTGTGTGATGGCATTACAAGAATGTGCCATAGGCTGGGTTTTAATTTTTAGAAAAAAATAAAGGATAATGGAGTCATGTGACCAGAAAACAGAAGAGAGAACTGTTTAAGGAGATAGGGGAGGGGGAGACAAGAAGGGAGGAGAAGAATGGACGAATAGCAGAGAAGGGGAGGAATAAGAACAAAATAACATGGCATGGTACTTAAAAATAATAGCAAATAGATAGCATTATGGTCTGTGGAAATGCTTCTACCAGTAAAGAGCCTACATCACAAGCATGAAGACTTAAGTTCGAATCGCTAGCCCTCACATAAAAGGCTGAGTGCAAAGGCATGTGTCTGTAGCCCTAGTGCTCGGAGTGTGTGGGGGAGAGAGACAGGAAACTCTCTGAAGTTCAATAGTCAGCCATCCTAGATAGATCAGTGTGCTCCAAGTACAGTGAGGAAAAATACCTATTGCTGTCCTCTAATCTTTACATGTATTGTAGACACATGTAGAGCCATAAATATATGTTTATGTACTCACACATATACACACTCACACAGGAATATACATACGCATAAAACTTTTAAATTAACCAGAAACTAAAAGGGCATCAGAAGAAAATAATATTTTATGAAACAGTAAGTCAAAACTAAGATGTCTGTTCTCATCTACATCTGATAGTTTCCAAAGACTCTCCTCTCTAATATAAACCCAAGAAGCAAAGCACCACAAACTCATTGCAAAGAATCTTTCATTTTGCTACAGTAGCAATAATGAGCCTTTAGTTAAAGTCTTTATTGTCAAGAGACTAAATAGCAGACTTGGTGGAGCCCTGACATTTCAATGAACTCCTTAGCCAAAAGACCACCCCTAGGAAAGCAGGCTCACCATGAATGAGTCCTGATAACGGGATGTGTAGAAGAAATAAGTCCTTTAACATGGTACTGTATTTTTTTCTTCCCAGAACCCCCACCCTTAGTGCAATAGCTCACTGCACCACAGCCTTGAAGCTTCATAAGGATTTAGCATCTCTGTCTTCTTTTTTTTTTTCTCTTTTCTAAGCATGTTTTCCTTAACACTTAGGGTCTCGCCAAAATTTTGTGCTTCCTTACCTTTCTCTAGTTTCCCTTCCCCAGCATTTGCTGATAGTCTGCCATGGTCTCATGCGCATACATTCTAAAATGATGTGACATTTTTTTCTTTCATCCTCTCCATCCTTGCATTTGGTGAGATTCACAGCTTGTCTACCGTCAGGGACTTGCTTTTAAACTCTAATAAAATTGCCCTTGAGCTTCTATTTGAGCCCATTCTTAAATTATTGTATTAATGAGACGATGAACCCCAAGAGGGGACCCTGAATTCCCACATATCATTTTAATCATAAGTGTAAGAAATCTTTCTGCAACCATTTACAAAGCGTTCTATAGCAGAGTCTCAGAATGTACCCCACAGGGAAGCCCGCAAGAATACTGGACAGACTGTACATTTTAAAACATTTTTATTTCTCAAGGAACAAAAAAAAATAACTTGCAGTTCATCACAGTGAAGGGATTGTATTCTAATACAGTTCAATGATTAGGAAAAATTCTTAATCATCCAGCTAAAAATATTTTATGAAAAAAATGGCAGGAAGCCACAGGGATCAGTCAGTTGAATCCTATTATTTCACAGATGGAAAAAAAATGGCTTATCAAAAGTCATAGGGATGGTTGGGGTCAGATAGACAACAAAGGTTCTGGTGCCATCCCCCACAATCACATTCTGCATACAGCATTGCATTTTACCAAATATTTCTGTGATCCTCTGAAGACCGTAATATCCCTTAAATAAAAAAAAATGCTTACAATAAACACAAATGAAAGAGGGGTTGCGGCTTGGAGAGAGGGATCACAAATCATGGAGAACAGGCAAATGCATATGGGTATACATACACTCCACTTTAGGTTCACGGTAAAATTGACCTTCACATAAAAGTTTTTATAAACCACTGTGCTGTCTCCACAGAGCATGTCCCACCAACAGTACACAAACCAGAAAGACAAATGTTACAGTCAATACGTCCTTAAAAGTCACATAATCATTTAGAGCTCAAAGTTGAAGTAGATTTTGTTCCTCATAGTTCCACACCAGAGCTCCGAAGTGTGCAGAGTAACTGTATCCTCCATTACAGTGTCTTACCCAATAGTTCATTGGCCTTAAAAGTTACCCACTGCATCCATCTACCCACCACTCCCTCCAGATCTCTCCTAACTGCCAATCACTTCCCTGTGCCTATGGTATTCCCTTTTCTGTCTCAGAAAGTTTGATACCTTATTTAGGGTCACCAACAAGTCAAGTTTAGCTGCCAGTTCTTGATAAACCAGCTAGCATGAGATTCCTCAGGGAATACCAGATTTGGAAGTCTATCTTTTTAATTGTTTGATAGCCAGAGTGAGAGACAAAAGTGTTTCTTTAGCATGTCTTTACCTCTGACGGGACAGTTACATTTTGTCTCAGTAACTTCGTAGTATACAGTTGCTGCAGATTTTCCTATTTTACTTTTTATTCATTTAGCAAAATGCAGTTAAATTTCCTTAATGAGTAGCTTGATAGCTCGTTTTCTTTTCGAAATTCATTTCTTACTGAATGGTACTCAATCACATAGACTGTGACAGCTTATTTATCTGTTTGTCTCATGAAGAACATGTGGGCTGCTTCAAGTTTGGGTCAATTGTTGGAGTAGTTATTATAAATATTCACAAGTAGGTTGGTGTATGAACACAAAGTTTCCATTTAGTTAAGTAAATGCATTTCGTTAAGGACTATGAGTGCTGTCATATGGTAAGCGCATGTTTACTGCGGGTAGACATTTTTAGTCTCCCAAGTGACTGTGCTATCCAACCTTGAGAATCACAATCTGTGACTCAACCCAGGTTTAGCTACCCATCCTCAATAACTCATTTAAAAGAGCCAAGTTAATAGTGGGAAGTAGAAAAAGGAAATTTATTCAATATTGCCACATTGGGAAGTGGGACAAAGAAATCAAATGACTATTCTCCGTGTCTGTCTTTGGAGTCATGAAGTGAGGCTAAAGTTCACAAAGAGGGCTAGGGATATGTACATCTAAACAGTCCTGGTCAAGGCATATCCTTCCCACCACTGACCCATCACTGTCTGAGTGTCAGTGTTAGCCTATAAGGTGGTCTGACAAATTGTTAGAGCTGTGTGAAATCTTTTTCTAGAAGACAAGCTCTCCCTCTGGGTGGGGATTCTTCTTTCTCTCAGTCTGAGAGTCTGGGGAAATTCCCTTTTTTGGGGGGTCCATTGCTTTAATACGTCAACAGATTGAGAGACACAGTAATTCTTTTGAATATTTTTGTACATGCCAGGACAATTGCAGCTATATATAATGTTTAACTTTAAAAGCTAGCATCTAAGTAACAGCCACACAGAAAATCACCGTAGAACAGTGGTTCTCAGTCTAGGGGGTGTGATCCTTTCACAGGAATTTCCAGATAAATACACATGACATCTCATGAGAGCGAAGATGTAGAGCAGGAGGAACACTCCTCCATTGCAAATGGGAGAACAAAGCAATACAACCACTTTGGAAATCAAAATTGGGAATCGATCTTAGAAAACTGGGAATCGATCTACCTCGAGACCAGCTATACCGCTCTTGGGCACATATCCAAAGGACACTCCATCCTACCATAAGAACACGTGCTCAACCATGTTCATTGCAACTTTATTCATTATAGCCAGAAACTGAAAACAATCTAGATGCCCCTTCAGTCAAACAATGGATAAAGAAAATGTGATACATTTACACAATGGAGTATTACTCAACTGATTAAAAAAATGATATCATGAAGTTTTCAGGCAAATGAATGGAACTAGAAAAAAAATCACCCTAAGTGAGGGAACCCAAACTCAGAAAGACAAATGAGGTATGTAAGTGGATATTCGCTGTTAAATTCAGTCACAACCATGCTATGATCCACAGATCCGGAAAAGCTAAGTAACAAGGAGGGCTCCAAGACTGACACATAAATCTCTCTTGGAAGGGGAAATAAAATAGATTTTGTGGGGGATGGGCAGGAGGGAGGAGTGGTGTGGGATTGGGGTGGGTATGGGAACAACAGGATCAGGTGCAGGAGTGGGAGAGGATCAAGGGAGAGAGTACTTAGAGGTACAGGAAATGGAGGGCATTTGTGGGTGGGTGATATGGAAACCTAGTCCAGTAGAAACTCTCAGGATCCTATGAGGGTGACCCTAGTAAGGACTCCTAGCTAGAGAAGATTCCAAGCCTGAGTTATCCATCCTCTGAACCAGGCAAAACTTCTAGAGGTGGGACTGGGACACCAACCGAGTCACAAACCTTCAACCTATAATCTATTCAGCCTGCAAGATGTCCTGGGGCAATGGAGGCACTGAACATGTAGGAATAGCCAACCAATGATGGGTCTAATTTGGGGCCCATGTCTCACACCGCCTGAACGACTAGGAATCAGAGGATGGAGAGCCAAGAGACATTTACATATGCATAGTTTGGAGCCT